TTCATTCAACCCTCTCTTCGTCGTCCACTTCCAACACTCTTTTCTGGTGGACTTTTTGAATCCCTTCCACCCGCCCGGATTTCTATTAGTTCGTCGCTCGATTTGCACCGGGCCCGATCTTTGTCTTTTTTTTTTTCTCCCAGTTTCCCCTCCCTCTTGATTTTCGCTCTCGCTTGCGATTCCTGGTGCTGTTTTCCGCATACGGCAACATGAACGTCACTCAGGTTTTGGAGAGCACCCTCTCGCCAGGTATATTCTACTTTTCCCTCCCCCCCCCCACCTGTTGCAAATCATCTCGAGGCGCAGTCGGTTCCCCATCTGAGGCTGTGGCACGATTGCTGATGGTCGTTCTTGCTGTGTACCATAGATGCGGCTGCACGTACAAATGCCGAACAGCAGCTCGCCCATGCGGCTGAGGTTGACTTCGTAAGTTCCCTTACCTGAAAAGTGCCAGCCATCGTGCTGTGGTCGCGTTGCAGCTTGCTAACCTCAAATATCTCTGTTCCATAGGCTCAATATCTTGTTACCTTGGGTCAAGAATTAGCAAATGACAACACCCCGTCCCACATCAGAACCGCCGCCGGTCTTGCGTTGAAGAACGCTTTCACATTCAAAGACCTCGCTAAGCTCCGCGAGGTCCAACTTAAATGGCTACAGCAAATTACCCCAGAAATTAAGGCCCAAGTCAAGGAACTTGGCCTCAAGACGCTCGGCTCGAAAGATGGTCGGGCCGGCCAGTCGGCCGCCCAGGTCATCGTTTCCATCGCCGCCATCGAGCTCCCCCGGAATGAATGGCCCGATCTGATGCAGATCCTGGTTCAGAACATCGCGACCGGCTCTGACCAACTCAAGCAGGCCTCCCTGGTCACCATCGGCTTCATTTGCGAATCTCAAGACCCCGAGCTCCGCGAGAGCTTGGCTGCCCACTCCAATGCTATCCTCACCGCCGTTGTCCAGGGTGCTCGCCGCGAGGAGCCGAACATGGATATCCGCTTCGCTGCTATCAAGGCCCTCAGTGATTCCGTCGACTTTGTGCGCTCGAACATGGAGAACGAGGGTGAGCGGAACTACATCATGCAGGTGGTCTGTGAGGCGACTCAGGCCGACGATCTCCGTGTCCAGGCTGGTGCATTCGGCTGTCTTAACCGTATCATGGGTGCCTATTACGATAAGATGCGCTTCTATATGGAGAAGGCCCTGTTTGGTCTGAGTATCATGGGTATGAAGAACGAGGAGGAGGATGTTGCCAAGCTCGCGATCGAGTTCTGGTGTACTGTTTGCGAGGAGGAAATCGCTATCGAGGACGACAATGCTGCGGTACGTTCTACATTATGATCTCTAGAGTAGGAAGTCAATTCGGCCATAACTAACGACCGTTGCAGGCCCAGGCTGAGGGGATCCCTGAGGTCCGCCCGTTCTTCGGCTTCGCCCGTGTTGCTTGCAAAGAAGTCGTTCCCGTTCTGTTGCAGGCTATGTGCAGACAGGATGAGGATGCCGGTGACGATGAATACAACGTCGCACGTGCCGCTTACCAGGCCCTGCAGCTCTACGCTCAGTGCGTTCAGGGCGATGTCATCCCCCCCGTATTGGCATTTATTGAGGCGAACATCCGTAACGAGGACTGGCGTCACAGAGATGCTGCGGTCGCGGCATTCGGTGCCATCATGGATGGCCCTGACCCCAAGGTTCTGGAGCCTTTGATCAAGCAGGCTCTGCCTGTCCTGGTCGGCATGATGCAAGATAGCTCTATCCAGGTCCGCGACTCAGTCGCTTACGCTCTCGGCCGTGTCTGTGACTATTGCTCTGAGACCCTTGACCCTGAGGTGCATCTGGAGCCCTTGATCTCTTGCCTGTTCAATGGTCTTGCGAGCTCCCCCAAGATCGCCAGCTCCTGCTGTTGGGCCTTGATGAACGTCGCCGACCGCTTTGCTGGCGATTATGGAACCCAGACCAACCCTCTTTCCAAGCACTTCGGTGAGAGCGTCAAGTCGCTTCTTACTCTTACCGAGAGGTATGGTTTCCAACCTGTGGCACCCTTGATCCGTTGCTAACCCAACCGACAGGCACGATGCCGACAACCAGCTTCGTACCGCTGGCTACGAGGTGCTCAATTCCTTCGTCAACAACGCTGCCATCGACAGCCTTCCCCTGGTCGGAAACCTGTCCGATGTTATGCTTCAGCGCTTGGACCACACCATCGGCATGCAGCAGCAGGTGGTCAGTGTTGAGGACCGCATCACTCTGGAAGAGATGCAGACTAGCATTATCAGCGTCATTCTCGTAAGTTCGCCCTGATTCTCACGCATCCTATTGCTTTCGCTAACCAGAAAGGCCGTTGTTCAACGCCTCGAGACCGAGATCAAGCCCCAGGCCGATCGCATCATGGAGCTTATGCTTCGCGTACTTTCGACCGTTCCGCCCAAGTCTAGTGTTCCTGACGTGGTATTCGCCACTGTCGGTGCTATCGCTAGTGCCATGGAAGAGGAATTCGCCAAGTACATGGAGTCTTTTGCCCAGCCTCTGTACAATGCTCTCAGCAACCAGGAAGAGCCTGGTCTGTGCTCCATGGCGATTGGATTGGTCAGCGACATCGCTCGTGCCCTGAATGAGAAGATCCAGCCCTTCTGTGATGGTTTCATGAACGCTCTGCTCACCGTTTTGCGAGTAAGTCAACAGTCTTGACAGTTCTGTGACCGTCCAACTAACTGTCTTCGAAGACCTGCGGCAATCAGCTCAAGCCTGCTATCCTTGAGACATTTGGAGATATCGCTCAGGCTATCGGCACTCAGTTTGACACCTATCTTCAAGTTGTTGCAACTGTCCTCCACCAGGCCGCGGCCGTGACTGCCAGCGACGATGTGTCTCTTGACGCCATCGACTACATCATCTCCCTCCGTGAGGGTATCATGGATGCTTGGGGTGGTATCCTTTTGGCTTACAAGGGCAAGCCTCAGAGTGAGCATTGTCTACGACCACTCAGCATGTGCTTTGCTGACATCATTTTTCAGTCTCTCACATCACACCTTTCGTCGACCACATCTTCCAACTGCTCCACACCGTTTCTCAAGACATCAACCGCAGTGAGGGCTTGATGAGGGCCGCTATGGGTGTCCTTGGGTAAGTTTTCGCTGTTCAAATCAGTCCTGTGGATTCTAGCTAAACTCAGTGTCAGTGATCTTGCCGAGGGCTTCCCCAACGGCGAATTTTCCAACTACTTCCGCAACGACTGGGTCACTGCCCTTGTTCGCGAAACCCGCCAGAACCGTGATTATGGACCTCGTACCATTGACACTGCCCGGTGGACCCGTGAGCAAGTCAAGCGCCAGATCAACATGTCGACTGCTGCTGCTATGGCTTAAGTGACAAGTATCAATCGCCCTCCCGTCAATTGATCTTTCACTCGACAATATGCCCCCCCTACAGGACGCCGCCAGCTTTTGGCGCACCGAAGGAAGTAACGCCGTGGCGACGCTGGCCCCATTGGCTGGTGGATCTGCATTCTACGGAACCCCGGGTCCCTCCCAGATTGCTCATTCATCATGTGACCGTGTTTTCAGTCTATCATACTGCGAATAGGGCTGATCTTTCCGCCGTCACCGTCCCTCACTCCACACCCCCCTTGAGCACCCTGTACCAACCCTCTCACCCCCACCCACCACCCAATATCTCCCCCTACCATCCGCACCAAAACCTCCCCCTCCCCTTGCCCATGTTGCCCCAGCGTTCAGGATGTCCGTCCTGTGCAAATGACTGCTTTTCGGACTCTTCCTTTTCATGCCATCTCGTAATGCATGTTGGCGCCATTCATCGGCCTTGCGTTCTCGAACTTCTTCACCCCTATCATTACCATTTCCCACCTGCCGATTTTCGTTTCCCCTCACGCCGTTTTTAATTAGACAGAGGTTCTACTAGCATTATCATGTATGCCCAAGAAGTCATGTACCCCCATTCCTATTGTCACGAATTTCACCTTGCCCTTACTCCACTGACCCTCAATGGATCAAGAAGACATGTATAGAATGATAAACCCATCCCCTTTACTCCCGTATACATTCACAACATTGTAATGTTGCCCGTATTCTACACTGGCCATGTAAGCAAACAGCTGCGCATTGTGCATTTGTTGTGTTCCTATGTTGCAGAATGACTTGCCCGGTCACTGCCAGGCAGAAGCACATACCGTGGCAGCTAATCTCTGACGAGCAGGTACGACTTGAAAGGTGAAAAGGTCACGATTTTGTATGCACACTCTTCTCCTGCCATAGAACGTCTTGTCTCGCAGGGATTTAACATCTAAAGATTTCATACCTGAGTCATAAGCTTGACAGATTCATCCGCTCATAACTACACATTAGGCGGCTGATCTTCTTGGTGCCTGAGGCATTAGAATTAAACGGTCACGTGAGCTAGATAAGGGCACAGATTGACAGCCCTAGGGCCCACCCGCACACCCCATGAAAACTTCTTCGCTTTTGTCGGCCGCGTCCGCTTCCCTCCCCTTCCTTTGATCCCAACCGACGTCGTCGACACTTCACGAGGTATGTACAACCTGTTGCCTCTCCCTGTTCTGCAGCTTCTCAGCTAGTCTGGGAGAGCAATCACCCGGATTCTTTGGTGTTTTTTTACTTGCAGGTGTAGCAACCGACGGCAATGAAGACAACCAGAAAGGCCGGCGTGATACGCTTCTCCTCATACGGCACGGGCTGAAGAACCCTTCATGGACTGCATCAGGGGCACTCTTTGCGCTCGAGGACTACTGGTGGCTGACTATTGGACTCCGGCAAATCCTCCTCGCGCCTGAAACGGCGCCGAGAGGATTCTAGGTTGGAGTTATCTTCGATTCAGATACCTCATTTCCCCTCGTATTCCCTCGATTTGAGAATCTCGCTCTTCCACCGTCAAAATGGTCAAGACTTCCGTCCTCAACGATGCGCTTAACGCCATCAACAACGCCGAGAAGGCCGGTCGCCGTCAGGTTCTGATCCGCCCCTCCTCCAAGGTCATCATCAAGTTCCTCTCCGTCATGCAGAAGCACGGTACGTTCTGTCCCATTCAAGTGCTGCACACAGGAATGGAAATGAGTTTTCGCGAAAATGAGTTCGATCCAAGCGCCGGCATCAAACGTAGTAGTCCACAGAATTTCGGGTTGATAACTAGGCGGTCTGTTTCGCAAATCACACAACGCTCGCCCTTTAAGTGCCCGATATATTGAAACCGGCGAGGATCTTACAAGTTTCCGAAACTCATTTTCATTTCTGTGTTTGGTCTAACCTTTAAATCCGCGCCACAAACCACTAATTCTTCTCTTCAGGCTACATTGGCGAGTTCGAGGAGGTCGATGACCACCGTTCCGGCAAGATCGTTATCCAGCTCAACGGTCGCCTCAACAAGACCGGTGTCATCAACCCCCGCTACCCCGTCCAGCTCCGTGACCTCGAGAAGTGGACCACCCAGCTCCTCCCCTCCCGTCAGTTCGGTTTCGTCGTTCTGACCACCTCTGCTGGTATCATGGACCACGAGGAGGCTCGTCGCAAGCACGTTGCTGGCAAGCTCCTCGGTTTCTTCTACTAAAAAGTTTCATCTGGCGATGTCCTGAAATGATTGGAATATGACTTGTTATGATGTGGACGAGGGATGTGCTCTCTGTTGCTTGTCTTGGCGGAGAGTTTTCGGAATCGATACCCCCGGCAGAAACGCCATAGATAGTTTATTGATTTAGAGTGATCTCGTCCAACCAAACAAGGATCCTTTCCGTCGTTTCATCAAGTTTCCATGTTTCTATCGGTAGAGCAGTAGACCTAGCCATAGTATAGGCATAGTGTAAATCTCTCTACGCTCGGACCAAGGCCGACTTCACAATATCCGCTGACCGCTCGCGCTAGTTACTGTTTCACCCCAGGAATTCCCCCGCAGTCTGCCATCAAGTACTGTATGTACTCTGTGCTTGCATACATTGAAGGCACTGTAAACCACCATGCCTCTCGACACAATTTACCTCACCCGTCACGGCGTGTGTACTACCATTCTATCCCATGAGCAACCCATCACTTACTAACTGTGGCTCTCCTATACCTAGCACCGCCTCAACTGGACGATAGACTACAAAACGGGCACCTACCATGCTCAATTCCCAACCCCCACAGGCAATCCGGCCGATCCCACCCTCACCTCGCACGGAGTGCGCCAGTCCCATGAGCTCGCTGCGCATCTGACCAGCGATAGCGTCCATCCGAAACCTTTTCGCGTCTACTGCAGCCCGTTCTACCGATGTCTCCAGACAATCCAGCCATCAGTGGAGGCACTGAAAGAGCTCCACCAGAGGACATGCTCGAAAGCTTGTACCTCTACGACAGCCACAACGGACAGCACCATTGAACCCCACGCAGACTTTGACGTGCGCATTGAGAATGGTCTAGGGTGAGACGCGGATCCCGTTCCGAATCTACGCGAACCTTTCCACTAATGCAAGCATACCATCCTGATTGAAGAGAATGGTTCGGCCACACCACCTTCTTCGAACACCCGCAGCCCGCCCCGCATTCCATCCTAGCCACCCACTTCCCGACCCTCCTCCCCCTCCCTCCTGCGACATCTCCTCCCCCTAGTGTCCGGGACCGAGGAGGAAACCCACCAACCACCCCCCATGTGATCCCCTCGCCCACCGGCGAAACCATCGCCCAACTCCACGACCGCGTCGCCACCGCCCTTGCCGGCATCCTCGCCGACGTCGACGCCGAGATCGCCGCGCTGGAGGCCGCGCAGCCCGCCCACGAACCCCGGACCAGCAAAGCGATCCTCATCTGCTCGCATGCGGCGCCCTTGATCGCCATGGGCCGCGCGCTGACGGGCCACATGCCGGCGGATCCTAATACCGACGACTTCGCGGTGTTCACGGCGGGGCTGAGCACCTTTCGCCGCCGCCGTCGCGAGAGCGGGGACCGGCGTGATGCTTCTCCCGGCCAGCAGGCTGAGATACCATCACTTGCACGGGGGACGAAAGTCCTTCGGGCTGGTACAACAGTCCCGGATTGGCGTGGGGGCAAAGGTGTCGCTGGTGGGTGGGATTGTGTGCGGAATGGTGACTGTGAGTTCTTGAGTCAGGGGGCTGAACGAGGGTGGTTTGTATATCCTTTTTTTTCCCTTCCCTTGTGATTCGGTTCTGTGTTTGAGGGACCTGGAACTTGGGCTAACGGGTGTTCACTCCTTGTAGGCACTTTGATGGAGAAGAAGGGTTTGATACGGGCCCTATGGCGCCAGAGGAGGCAGGGCCGACGTCGAGTTTGGATACTATGGCTACTGATGGTGTAGGTGAGCGGGGGATGAAATTGTGACACTGACGCGTGGTCTCGGGAGTGGGGGATGAGAGTATAAATACTGATGGTAAGAGCTATGTTTCAAGTAAGGAAGGCATATATATCCAGATAATTCCCAGTTATCGTCGACACTACTTTTCTCGCCAAGGGAATTATAGATTATGCCCTAGATTATGTCCGACTGAAGCAGCAAGGGTAGACTACAATTACATATCAATGAGTATATTCAATTCTGAGGCTAAAGGCTTAAACGCGGGGGAGGGGGGGGGGTTCAAAGGAAATATGTCGCATGTAAGCCAAACGAGGATAAAGCACAGTGAGAAACAAAAACAAAAGGTGAACTCAGTGGCAATATGGCTGATGCCTTGCGACATCAGTTCTCAGCTGCCTGGGGTATCATAGTGTGACCTTCACTCTGCGCTGCATCAACGTTATTCTCCTGCTCTACCTGCTGCTCCTGCTGCTGTTGCTGCTGTGCTTCCTCACGTTGACGGCGTTCTTCCTCCTCCCGTACGCGCTGCGCAGCTTCCGCAGCATTGCGCACCGCAACCTGGCGCTCGCCTACTCCGGGCACCAGGCTCGCAATGAACAACGCCACAGATCGCTCCACCCTCCGCAGCTGACGACGCATTTCACCCGCAACCCCTGTGCGGGGATTGCCGTTCATTGGGCCACCACCACTACCACCACCAACAGCACCTTGGCCACCCTGGCCTTGGGCCTGAGCCGGCTCATTAGGGGTCAGATGAACTAGACCTTCAAGGTGTTGCTGCACCGGAGCCACAAACAACTGGTACAGTCGCTGATCCCACCCGGTTTCCGAGGATAGCACGAAGAGCACGGCCAGCGTCACAAAGAACACGCGCGCCCAAGTCCCGGGTTCGGTGAACATATAGCAGAAGAAGTATAGCCGGGCGAACTGCCAGAGCCGTAGGATGATCCGCGCAAGGGCCAGTCGTCTGTTCTGGTTGGGGTTGTTGTCGAGTCCCCGCTGGTTGAGCACGGCCCGGCGAACGACATTATCCAAGACGGCTGCGTTCGCGTTGTGGGGATTCTCAGGCATCGGAGCAGTATCTTGGTCTGGTGTGCGATTTGGAGGGTGGGTTGCGCGAAGTCTCTCGATGGTTGCCTGCATGGCCTCTGCCCCTTGGGGCGAGGAAAGAAGCCCCTGGTATCCGGATGGGGATGATAGTAGATACAAAGAAGCTGGTCCAGGTGCGGACGTAGCGATCGCAGCACTGGCTGAGGTGTTCTGCAATCGTGGAAACCCGGCTTCAGACAGGCGGAGCTGGTGGGCGCGGGCGTATATATTGAAGACGCGAGACAGCAGCCCTTCGATTGAGCCATCGCGTTCAGCAAGAGGGTTCATACATTGTTCATCCAGGATGGTGAGTAAATGTGTTCGGATTCTAATTATGTGATTCATCGGAGGCGCAATGCCGCGGTTCAGCTGGCTTTCTGCCAATTCCACTTGACGACTCAAAATCTGCAAGCACTCTTCCGTTACTAGAGCGCTAGAAAGAGACACAGTGTTTGAAAGGCCTGTGGCTGCCACTGTCTCGAGTGAGGATGTCTGTGGCAGTTCTGGGCGTGTTGTAGACACCGAGGACGATCGATCTGGCCACGTTGGTCGCTGCTGCTGGGCAGTCGAAAGTGCTGGGTTCAAGCTGGACGAGAAGGCGGTTGTACCTCCCGACAAGTTGCCTCGGTCCCGCATCTCGATCTGCCGTCGAATTGTCTCAATATTACGTCGCAAGGCCAGTCCGACCTCGGCTTCAGACGCGCCTGTGCGCTCTGGCTCAGCTCTAGGTGTGGGTGGCTCAGGTCGGAGGGTCATCGATGGAAGGTGAATAGCAGAATCCGGAATGAATTGTGGTTGTTGCGGACCAGGAGAGCTGAGGGTGCGTGGTGCCGAAGATTCAGAAGATGGAGGAAGAACAAGATGGATGGAATACTCGGTGGCCTTCACAAATTACCAGTCAGCTAGGTTATAACAGAGTGATTGCAGGCACCATCAAAAAATCAAGTTCTCTTACATTAGGCGGCTCCAGTACATCTCTCAACGCTGCCGCATCATTCAGAAGTGGCTTCCCACGATAAATCAAACGTTGGCTATCCGGAGACGGCCGGCTCGGAATTGCTCCTGCGAGTCGGGCCTTCAGATCCGCGACAGTCGTAGATGGGGACACATCTTGAATGGTGTACCGATTAGGAGGAGGTAATGATGGACACAAGACATGCAAGGTGAAGCTCTCGGGCGAGTCCGATGATGCGCTTGGAATGTCTGTAGTCGAAACCATCTTTCTATGCTGGGATTTTGGCGCTGTTCAGAGGACGATTGGTTTACAGGCACATAGTCACAAGTTGTAGAGCCGCTTCACATCGAGCACGCTGTCGGATAAGTTGGTTCAGGCAATCTGTCTTCCGCCGCGGAAGTACAGTACAGGCCAGGTCCCGGTGCCAACGGTGTCCTTTTCAGTGACAGCAGCTCTAGCTGGCACCCTCAAGGCGATTCAAATGACGCACAGTCTCGCGTATCACCTATGGGAGAGCAAATATCTTCAATTGTACAGAGCCAAGCAGCAACAGCAAGAACCCACCGATTGCTGATAAAGATGATGACAAGATGAGTAGTTACCGTAAGTGTATAGACATGCCAAACAAATGGCGGAGATGGCCCATTCTGCCGGGCGGTGAAGATGCCTTCTTGCCGATCACGTTCAGGAAATGAGGATTGCTGCTTCTGCCCTTCGCCATCAAAGCCCCATTTTCACAATTTCACACCTTACTTGTGCCGGTTAATCGTAATTTTTCACGTGCCTCACCCGCCCTCGGTTATTGCCCCCCCCTCTGGGATGACTCTCACCCAGTAGAGTCGCATTATGGCCCTGTGCCTGTCCAGTTGTTCTGCGCTGTTTCGCCGGAAGGTGTTGATTTCCCCTCATGTGGAGAGGGCTGGATTGATGGAAGTGTCGTTGAAGGCCACTGGTCGTCGTCCGGCCGGTGCTCGCCACTTTTCCAAAACCTGGAAACAATCCCAGAATCAGGACCAAAAACAAACCTCGTCTCGTCGCAGCACATTCGGCTCCCGACTCCGTTTCGCGCTCCGCAACACCAAAGTCGAATGGTACCCCATCCCCGTCGGTCTAGGTATCGGCCTTCTCGGCCTGCTGCAGTTCTATAAGGCCCAGCGGGCTGAAAGAGAACGAGCTGAGCGAGAGGCAGCCGGAGAGCCTTTCGACTTCCAAAATGCCTCTGCTCGTCCCAAACATCGACTCAGCGGACCATGGCAGGTCCAGATTATGTCCACCTTGCCCCTTAAAGCTATGTCCCGACTCTGGGGTCGTTTCAATGAAATCGAATTGCCCTACTATTTCCGTGTTCCCGGCTTCAAGTTGTACTCCTGGATCTTTGGCGTCAACCTTGACGAGGTCGCCGAACCCGACCTTCACACGTATCCCAACTTGGCCGCGTTCTTCTACCGTCAGCTGAAACCCGGTGTTCGACCTTTGGATCCAGATACCCGTGCTATCATCTCGCCTTCCGATGGAAGAATCCTGCAATTCGGACTCATTGAGCGGGGCGAGGTTGAGCAGGTCAAGGGCGTTACTTACAGTTTGGATGCCCTTCTGGGATCTGCCACTCCAACCCATGCGGACCACACCAAGACTTTCACCGACCATCAGACCGAGCCGACCCAAAAGAATGAGGCTAAGATGCTGGCTGATGAGGAATTTGCCGAAATGAACGGTATCTCCTATACGCTACCAACTCTACTCGCAGGCGAACCGGGAGGCGCACGGAAACGCTCAGCCTCGATGGACGCGTCTACTACTTCCAAGGTTGATGCTGAAGAAGAGGTGAAGGCTGACTTGGCCCGTGGCGATGGAACTCCGTGGTACGCCCCGAAGGCAGCCGCCAATCACGCGCTCTACTATGTTGTCATTTACTTGGCTCCTGGTGACTACCATCGCTTCCACTCTCCTGTGCCGTGGGTGGTAGAGAGCCGCCGTCATTTCGCTGGCGAACTGTTCTCAGTTTCACCATATCTTCAACGCCACCTTCCGGGTCTCTTTACCCTCAACGAGCGTGTCGCCCTGTTGGGTCGTTGGCGTTGGGGATTCTTCAGTTATACGCCTGTGGGAGCGACCAACGTGGGCTCGATCAAGGTCAACTTCGATGCAGAGCTGCGTACCAATAGTTTGACTACGGATACCGCTGCTGACAAAGCTGCCGCCGAAGCCGCAGCGCGCGGCGAGCAATACCCAGGATTTGTTGAAGCGACATACCGCCACGCCAGTCGCACCCTGGGAGGACATCCTCTTCAGCGTGGTGAGGAGATGGGAGGCTTCCAGCTGGGAAGTTCGATCGTGCTGGTGTTCGAGGCACCTATGGGCACCCGCAAGTCGTTCGATGCCGGTTGGGAAGAGGGCAAACGCGAGGGAGGCTGGAACTGGACCATCGAAAAGGGACAGCGGATTAAAATGGGCGAGAAGATCGGATATGTGGACATTCAAAACTAGACTAAGTCGCTTTTGATTGTTTCTGTATTATAGTACTATATTTATTGAATAGCGAGAATACTTCGTCGGGCCACCATCCCCACGAGCTCATAGAATATATTTTATTTTCGAGCCGAGGACTTTTCCCAGATCACGACAAGGAGATTCCAGTACAGTAAAAGGTTCCACTGACACAGGTTTTTCCATGAACCCTGTAAGCATTGAATTGACTTGCCGACCACCCTCACCATTTGCGAAGGCTTCATTTGTGTTACAAGCTCATTACTCGAATTGACCAACGTGTTGATCCAGGACGACAATCGCTGGGCTGGACTTATCGCGCATTGCGATAACCGATAAGCCAACACGTGATTGATAACAGACGCGGTCCCCCATCGCAGCTTCACCTTTTCTCCCCTCGAGACCATAAATCAAAACAATAGCAAGTAACCAACGATTCAGTCAGCTTGGGAGTCATGGCTATGCGATAATTGATACATTATACCATACAGGTCAGACATTTCTGTTCAAGGGCACTTCTCACCATGCCGCGCCACCACCATATCCTCCGCCGTAACCACAACCAACCCGACACGTCCTCGCCATCGGACCTTCAATACCAACAGCAGCAGCAACAGCAACAGCAACAGCAACCACCTCCAGCGCCCCAACGTATCAACCGCGCCCGTCTCGGCCAGAGCCACCATGAAACTCCCACCTCCCAGTTCCAGACTCCCCCCTCGCGCGGCTTTCCCATCCCTCGGCTTCACCCATCCTCGGGACCCATAGACGACCCGACGCACCCGCTGCATAGACACCAGCAAGCCCAACAAGCGCAGCAGCAGCGCCAACAACACCCTGCCGCCACCGCCGCCCAAGTCGCATTGTTCTCTTTATTCGGACGCGGGGTCCATGGCCGGGGCCACGGGGATCCGCGCCATCGACACCCGCCGCACGATCGGATGGAACAGGACGAGGACGAGGAAGAAGACGAGGAAGAGGACGAAGACATCGATGACTCAATGCAGCAGCATCGGTATCCCTCGTCTCACCGTCATCTCCGCCATCGCCATCATCATGGTGTAGGCGAGACCGGCCATGATTCGGAGGGAGAAGCGGACGAAGACGACGAGAGATTAGGTCTTCATGCCGCGCATGACGGAGGGGGATTAGGGGCCGAAGAGGAGGAAGAAGCGCTCGAAGAGGAAGAGGAAGAAGAGGAGGAGGATGATGATGATATGCTCGCGGATCCGGATGTTGATGATGGTGATGAGGAGATGTTAGGCGAGAGAGGTAAGCTTTCTTCTTTCTGCCTTTCCAATTCAGACTATATCTACAACCACCCCCCTTCCCCTACCCTCTCCCTGTTTTTGAAAGTCGAATGAATCCCTGACAAACACATCTAGATAAATCCCCCACCCCTCTTCCCGCCAACCTCCGCGAGATCTCCTCCCTCGCCTCGTGGACCGTCTCCACCCACAAACCGGGCTGCGGCGTCAGCGCCCTTCGCCACCCGTCTCCGACCCAGTACTGGCAGTCGGACGGCCCGCAACCCCACACCCTGACCCTGCACTTCTTCAAGCTCGTCGCCGTGGTGCGCATCCGCGTGTACCTGGATTTTGAGATGGATGAGAGTTATACCCCGACCAAGATGGTATTTCTGGCCGGGATGGGGGGGAATGATCTCGTGGAGTTCGCGACGTGGGAGGGTGAGGGTCCCTGCGGGTGGGTGGATGTGGAGTTGGAAGGGGTTGGCGGGAGGAACACTGTGCATTCGTTCGGGAAGTTCCAGGGTGGAGGTAGTAGGACGAGGAGGAGGAAGCTTCAGGGGGTGAGAGGGAAACGGAAGGGGTTGGGGGCCACTGGGAGGAGAGGAGCTACGAGTTATGTAGGTAAGGGGAAGGCGAAAGGGAAAGGGAGGGATGTGGGCCACGGGGACGAGGATGATGTGATGATGGATCAGCATGACACGGAGGAGAGTCTGTACGAAGATGCGAGGGCTCATAGGAACGAGGAAGAGGAGGACGATGATGAGGAAGATGACGACGACGAGAACGATCCGTACGCTGGGAATGTGCTCAAGGCCATGGTCATTCAGATGAAGGTGACTGAGAACCATCAGAATGGCAAGGATACTCATGTCCGTGGCTTCCAGGTCTTTGCACGCGATGACGAGCGCAAGAGGTTGGCCAATGCCCCGTCGGCGTCGGCGGATGGCAGAGTGCGACGACACAGTGCGCGTCGCTCATTGCGGGGGAGCACGCATGATGAGATGGCCGAGGGAGCCGGTGGTGGAGGACGGGAACATGCAGTTGCCGAAGCTGAGCGCGCTGTGACAGGAGTGGTGGTTAGTCTGGAGGAGCCGGATTGGATGGGCGAGCCGGTCATTAGGTAGCTGGTAGACGGGCGTTCGATTGCATCGCATTTGTATCGGAGTTGGCCGGTAGATACCCTTATTCTGTCTATTCGAAAGTGTTTTTTTATAACTGTGCGATAATCTTTCATATGTGGGGAAGAATATAAGAGTTTGGTATTAATATGGTCATATCTCATTCGGCATCGCTGCCCCCAAAACACACAACTCAGCGGAGAACAAAAGAAAGAACTTTTATGCCTTTTACAACAACTTCTCCAGCTCAGCAGCGACGGCATCGCCGACTTCGCTGGTGGTAGCCTTGCCGCCGATGTCGCCGGTGCGGAGACCGGACTCGATAACGTTGCGAACGGCGGCCTCGATGGCGCGGGCCTCGTCGAACCGGCCGAAGGAGTACTGCATCATCATAGCAACCGAGAGGATGGCGGCGACGGGGTTGACAATGCCCTTTCCGGCGATGTCGGGGGCAGAACCTTTGGGGGCACCGTGTTAGCATCGAGTGCAACGCTGGATACATACACGAACGAAGGAGGTGACAACATACCGTGGATGGGCTCGTAGATACCGTTGACACGGCTCTTGCCGTCGGGGATACCGCTCAGACTGGCACTGGGCAACAGACCCAGGGAGCCGGGGATGACACTGGCCTCATCGCTGATGATGTCACCGAAGAGGTTGCTGGTGACGACGATACCATTCAGCTGGCGGGGGTTCTTGACCATGATCATGGCAGCGGAGTCGATCAACTGGTGCTCGATCTTGAGCTGGGGGAACTCCTTGGCCATGACCTCGGTGACGGTCTTGCGCCACAGGCGGCTGGTGGCCAGCACGTTGGCCTTGTCCAAGCTCCACACGGGGAGAGGGGGGTTGTGCTGGAGGGCCAGGTGGGCGGCCAGGCGGGTGATGCGCTCGATCTCGGCGCGCGAGTAGGGCTCCATGTCCATGGCGTATCCGCTGCCGTCGTCCTCCTTGCGGTCGCCGAAGTAGATACCGCCCGTCAGCTCGCGGATGATGTTGAAGTCGACGCCGCGGCACACCTCCGCCTTGAGCGGGGAGTGGTCGACCAGCGAGGGAGCGGCGAAGTTGCAGGGACGCAGGTTACCGAAGGTGCCCATCTCTTTGCGGAGCTTCAGGAGACCCTGCTCGGGACGGACGGCGCCAGTACCCCATTTCTGTAGGATATAGTATATTAGCCGAGGGGCAGCATGGATGGCGACTCGCGGACTGGGTTACGTACGGGGCCACCGATGGCTCCCAGGAGCACGGCATCGGCATTCTTGGCCGCAGTCAGGGCCTCGTCAGTCAGGGGAGAGCCAGTGGCGTCAATGGAAGCCTAAGGTCGAGGTCAGAAGCTATATCAACACCTTCAAAAGGTTCGCACATACACCGCCCAGCAGATGATCCTGAAGGTTGAGGGTGATATCGCCACGCTTCTTCTCAATGACGCGAAGGACCTGATCAGAAGTGAAAGTCAGCATGCATTGCAAGGGCACTTAGCTTCCACAGCCCATTGGGAGGTCACGAAGCTGTATTGCAGCGTTATGGGTGGTTGACTCACCTTGATGGCCTCAGCGGTGACCTGTCAAGTACGTATACGTCAGTCTATGAGCTCCCTAGCACGGGGTCCCAGGACGGGTATCTCTTACCTCGGGACCGCAGTGGTCACCGGCAAAAACGACGATGTTGAAAGTAGACATGACGAATGGGAGACAGGGGGAGTGAGAGGGGTATTGAGTCAGAATGTTAGAATTAAGAAGATAGCGAGAATGAAAAAGGAGCGGATAAATATACGATCTGGCGGGGGAGAAATGCAAGCCTCCCCCGCGCCGACACCGGAGTCATTGCCGGCACTAGCCGAGACCGGCTAGAAGCTTGAGAGCGGCTGCCCGTAAATATTACTCCGGGGTACAAACAGACCGAACCTGGAATGAGAAAAACCACGAGGCAAGAATAAAGGTGATAATATTAATAGGGAAAGTAGACACAGGTTGGAAGGAGCTGTATGAATGCGAAACACAGCGGAGAACATAATGTAGGAAAGAAACAGTATAGATAATAGGTAAACAATGCGCCGAGAATCATTCACCCTTTTGTCCAGAGACAGATAGTCCCTCCACAGACTCATATGCCACAATTTCCTCCCAACACATATATGGAAGTTACTAGAAAGACACCCGGGCTATTGGCCCCAGTTGACAGAACCGACCAGAGCACCAGAACCATGCACGGAAGAAAGTAAAGATAAAACGACCGGCTCAGCAAAGACCGCCGTCCGGCCGACCGGAGGCACCCGGAGAAGAAGCGAGCTCGAAGGCGTTAAAACGGCTGACTCGACGGTTGACTCGAAAGAAAGAAACATCCGGAATCACCACCTGCGCCTGACATGGCCGGGCCTTAATTGTTCTTGGCCGCCCGCAGAGCCTTCCGGCTGGCCATGTCACCTTCAGCCAGCCACTTGCTGGCCTTGACCAGCTGCACAACGTTGATGAACTGCTTGAGCGCCATGACTGGGAAGGAGACCCCGGTAATAACCCAGGGCCAGAAGCTGTCAATCTTGTTCGCACGAGCCAACTCAAGGGCGCCTGCACTCCAAGGGCTGGAGTACCCCTCTGGAGGGGGGATGGTCGTGTCGCCAGCCGGGCCCCCAACCTTGGGTTGAAGCAGGGAAGGAGAGAGAGTGGGCGAGGAGAAGGAGAGCAAGTAGAGACCGATGAAGAACAGCTCATTGAGAGCGCAGCAAATGAACAGGACCGTCTGTGCACCACATTAATATACTGACCCAGACGTAAAAACACCGGAAGAAACTAACCCGACTGTGGTAGTACTGGTACAGGACCCAGCTGCGGCTGGAGTCGACCTTCTTGTGGCTCTGGCTGGAACCTCCCATGCTGAGCGTCGCGTACATGTGCATGTAGTGACTAGCCATATCCAACGCAATCAGACTCTGGAAGACGATCGACCACCGGGGCCAGGCCGAGCTGAGGAACACCAGCAGACACGCTGTTGTGCACCGATCCGTCACCATGTCCAACACGGCACCGAAGGTAGTCGACTGGTTGAAGTATCGTGCCGCATATCCGTCTAGGGCATCCAACAGGCAGGAAACACTGTAAAGGAGGGAACATGTCCGCGGATGCAGGGGCATGTAGTAAAGCGAAGCCATTGTCAACACCACACGCGCATAACCTAGTTTCCGCGCTATGTATTAGACCCAAGAACCGGTATTCCCACGGAGGACATGTATCTCTCACCAATCAGATTTGGCGCGAATAGGAAAACGTTCTCTTGCACTTCTCCATCCGCAGCAGCTTCCGGGCCATTTTTCGATGACGGCTGGAGCGTTCCATTGACGGCGGGTGACGGATCCGTGGCTTCCAGCTCAGCGGAGGCCTTCTGGCTTCTAGTGCGCGGGCTCATTTTTACTCTGAGGTTGGTTATGTGGAGGAGGCTAAGGAGAATAGATTTTGTCGATGGACGAAGGTGTAAGACCGAGAGAGGCTTGTTCCGGGAGTTTCCACGAGGTACACACAGCGATCGATAGGAGGAGATGATGAATATAGAACGAGATACTGGGACAACGACTTGGTGATTCAAAAAGAAAAACAAATGTTAGCAGGGTACCAGGCAGTCATCTCAAATGGAGAACAATAAGTTCCGACATGATAGGTTGGGGAAGGATGGATCGGGAAGCTCGTGCATATATTGATCTCCTGAATTAAAGCTCTGAAGCACACGTACCGATTTATTGTCCTGACGCGCTTTTTATTGTTGCTTTTGGTAAGCAAAAATACTGCTCCAAAGTGTGATGAATATGACTCAAGCTTAGGAAGCAGATGCAGCACCCAAGAAAGAAAAGGCGCACAAAGAAAGCAGCGTAAAGGGGAAGAAGGGTGGAGGGTTGAGGGGAAAGTTGTTCGTTCAGGAGAGGGTCGATGAGGTGAGTCGGGGTCGCCGCCGCTCTGTGGATTATTGCTTGGCTGTCCGAGTGGGCGCTGTCGATAAGCTGCGGTGATAAGCGGTTGCGACCGTCAACTTAACAGCTACCTAGTAGGCTTTGACCTCAAACACCTGGAGGGACAGTGGGCAATTTTGGAAGCAGCATTGAACTCATTCTCATAGAAATCATAGAAGCATCACAACTAAATCACTGAAGAGATAGGCATTTTGTACTTCGCAAGCTTCTGATGCTGCTTGCGGCTACAAGCATTCCTTTCCGCTCCGGGCGCGGCTTTAGTGTTCTATTCCAGGGGGACGTTCTTCCATTGCGGTATGAATGGTACACAGGTCGCATAGACGAGGCTCGAGAGAGAAATAGAGAAACAAATAGTATGATCATGTTCTGCGTGTGTATGTACAAGATGCAGCGATAACAAATCTCCGCCCGTCGGATCAGTCGGATCGACTCGACACAAGAGGTGCACGAATCAGAATGTGAAACTATATACAGAAAGAACCACCTCTTCCTTCGCTCTATCAATATCTAGCATTATCATCATCATCGTCGAGACCGCCGAGGATCGGTTGCCTCTTGTCGCCGCCAATCGCGCGCCTCCTTCGTGCCCATACTGCCTAATCCACCTTCCAGCCGACGTTCCCAGCCGCCTAAGCGAACAACCAGGCAGGTGGCGTTATCCCCGTCGCGCGTCACTTCAGTTGCGAAGCTGACAACATCACGAGCCCCCTGGTCTGGCGTCTTGGCTTCCTTGATGATATCTACTACTTCCTGATCTGGTAGCGTGCCGCTGATGCCGTCCGACATCAGCACTAAGAAGGAATATTCAGCTGGGCCCATTTCCACCCGACGAATTTCGGGCTCGGCCGACACGCCGATGCGTTTGGATTGCATATCGCCAAATGCTCGCGTGTTTGCCAGCCCACTCATGCGCTCCTCTCCGAAAGAATCCGTGACAAAGGTAGTGGCATAACGACGGAGCCGGCTGGCCTCAATCGGCGAGGAGGGATGGTGGTTGGACGTTAGGGGAATCGCCTGGCCAGTTTCAGTCGAGCACAATAGGATGCGA